TTCGCAGTGGCTGTGGCGAATTGCGAACTTATGCGCAGCTGCTTCATCAGAAAGACGTTGTTGCGAAGGCACTGATCAGGCATTTGAATGACCCCGACAGCGCATCGCTGATCACGTTGCTGCAGTAACTTCTTTTATTTTCCTTGTGCATCACTGAAACGCATTATAGCCCGGCCGCATCTGTGCATATGCACTGAAACAACTTTAGACTTTTAAAGCCCGGCATGCCGGGATTTTTCTTTTTTTCCTTTGTTTACCGTAAGAGGGAGGAGGGAGAGGGGCCCGAGCTGTGACCGAAAAAAAAGCAGCTTTTATACTCTCTCATATTCTAACGTGAAGTTTTCAACTTCTTGACCCTGTATTAAACCAACATTAGCCATATTGTGTAGAATATTGCCTCACAAGCTTATTTTTGCTATTAAAATGCTTACTGCAATACAACAAATAGATCAAACAAAAAAACATCTTAAGAAGTAAAGAGAGTTAGCGTATGCTGCTGTTGCATTAATTCATTTTGGGCCCAGTGCGGCTTCTCACAAAAACTCACAGTTGCAGTGCATGCCGATATTTTAAGTAAAACAGAAAAAGAGAACTTCAGGCACCAGAATCTGGCTCCCAGCTGTTTGCCTTCCTAATTTCGCCATGTTTTTTCACTTTTCCTCATCTCTACTCCTTTCGTACGTTTTGTTCCTGTAGTTCCGCGAAGTGTTCTGTCATTATGAAGGGCTGGTTCATTGGTACTCTCACTGATACATTCATAAGCCACCGCGACCTACTGCCATAAGTATACTGTCGTTTCTGTGTCACAGTTAATCTTATGGTTGCTTCAAAAATCTTATTTCTTTCGCACTTCTGTTGATCATCACTGGCCATGCTTATACCAAATTTTTTCAGTTTGACAACGGCATTTGCGCAAGATTTAAGAGAAGATTTTGACAGTCATCTATGGGAATTCCTCGAATCGATAATCAGCTTGCTGGAGAGGTCGCATGAGAAAACTGAAATCCTCGAAACGGGCTTTTTTACGCTTGCCAAAATTTTCTGGTTGCAACGAAGACGTCTTGTGCGTGAGTTACGAGAAGTGTTCCGGTTAGTGCTTATCGCATTTGCGTTTCTCGTCTGTTTTCTTTCAAAAGTTTCATTAATTTGATCTCTGGCCGGGTCGCCTTCCTACATTATTGGTGTTGATCCTCTGTGCTTGAAGCCTACCGTTTGGAACGCTTTACCAGGATATGTCATACCAGTAAATTTTGCTACTGATATGATGGGCATGTTCTTATTTGTTCCATGCAGACGAGAGGATGGGGCGGGGGAGGGGATGGGTGGACAGTTGCCTTGATCTGGCGCGCAAGGGAATTTTTAAATACTTCCGAAAAAAAAAGTAATTTACAGGCGATTCAAGCGATTATTTGCATGCAAGCGACTGTACATGCGTCGATTCATTGCCGAAGCTCTTGCCTTTCTTTTGCGCAAATCAAGTGCAATTGACAAAATCGTTGTTTTTTTGGCTGAAACTGTGTATGAGGTAGATTTTTTGTCTTTTTTCTTCCGCATATTTAATCCATTCACAAGTCAAATCGAGTTTTGGGCCAAAGGTCAAAGATCATAATACAGGGGAATTTGAAAGTAAATTTCATTCATTTTGTGTCTTGCAAATGAAACTGCACGAGTCTAATTTTTGTACAAGAAGCAAAGAACAACTTATTATCAACACTTTCCGAAGAAGTATTTCTCAAATTGATGTTTTTGCTTGCAGGAAGCGAGCAGTTCGTTGGTGGATAGCATCGCACGGTTATATTTCAATGCACTGAAAATTGCAAAAGGACAGTTTCACAGTGCAGCGCCTCAGGCAAGTCCATTTTTTTTACCCCACAACTTGATTTGTTGCATCAGTTCCAACAAGTGTATTTGTCTCGACAATCTGCCCTTCCCAGTCTGCATTACTGCGTAACACACATTTTCTTGTTAAAGATTTATTAGCAGTAGCAATGCAAAATAACGGAGCATACATTTAGAAAAGGTGTTGTTTGCGCCGATGAAGAATGATTCTGTAAGTTAGCAGTAGTTCCTCCAGGTATTACAGCTAATAAAAGACTGTCACTAGAAAAATGCGTTTTTGAATACATTTGCACAGATCTGGTTTTCATAGATCTGCACAGTACGCGATGGTTATTGAATAGCTTTCATTACTAGGATGCTGTTGTTTTGACTTTTTCATCTTTAGATATTTTTGTCAATTTTGCGAGCAACGGTAAATATCGAGGAGAATGCTGTTCGAAAGGTAGCAATTCAGATTGTGGAGGAAAGCCTGATTCACTGTTCGAATTACACTTCAAAAGGTCACAGTGCGCCACTTCTCTCTGTCCTTCTGGTAAGTACTTTTCGTGCTAATACGTAGTTCGAGTGCAGTTTGCGAATGGCTATTTTTTTTTTCATAAATAAGCAAAAGGAAGAAGACCGTTAGTGAACCGTATAGGCCTTCGTTCTGCTTCACTCATTTGTTGACTTTTAAGCATTCTGCGCGCTTCCTCTTTCCTCCTGGAAAGTTCACTTTCCCCGAGAAGAGTGTGGAACTGGTACAGCGTATTTGAATCACTTCGCGGCATCTGCTGAAGGCGGAGGAATGATACTGCGCCACTTTTTATAGCGCTGCTCACCTGATCAGTAGTACGCTTGTTCAGCGGGTGTCAGTGTGTATGTGTGTGTGTGTGTATGTATGCATTTATCTGTGTGTGTGTGTCTGTTTGTCTGTCTAGAACAAGCAATTTAAGCCTCGCATATTCACAACAGGAGTATATCTCAGTGCTGAGAAACAGACGCGCTGTGTGCACCTTAGCATCGAAATATTTTTACTGAGCTTTGTTAATGTTGTTTCCGTAAATATGACTGTTATAAGAAAGATGGAAAATTGGGGAAAATCTATTCGGAGCAATTGACCAGAAATACTGAGAATGGAGAGAGTGCCAAAGCCATCGAGAAATGAACAGCCATATAAGCGACGTGACCTAAAAAAGAAGTAACTTATATAGTTGAGGCTGAATTTAGGAAAAAAAAAAAATAATTGGCCAACGCACGGGCTGTCCGTGCGAAGATGCGTTTTTTGCATAGTTTCCCGCAGATTTTTGTCGCTAACGGCACTGTTTTTTTCCGACACATGTTTCTAGCTAAAAGAATTTCAGACGGGGCGCCAGGACTGTCCGGAAACATCCCTTCAAAATCCAAGTCTTCTTGCTTCTCAGGTTTTCGGGTTAACAACTTACACGAAAAAATCTTCCACGAACCCATACGTGGGAATGACTCATACCCTCAGGGCTAGGTTTGAGCTCATTAATACCTACGTGAATGAGGAACATTCCCTTAAAATTCCAATCTTCTAGCTTCTCAGGTTCCCGAGCTATCAAATTACCCGAAAAAAGAATTTGCCGGGTCCGTGCGTGAGTGCCATGCATACCCGGTGTCTGTGTTTGAGCTCACTGAGACTTTATGTGGACGGGGAACATTCCTTAAAATCTCAGCTTTCTAGCTTTTCTGGTTCTCGAGTTAGCGACGTATCCGCAAAAAACTTTCAGCGGCCCGTACATGGGTACCACGCGAGTAAGGACGCCCATTTTGGGGATTGGGACTTGTACATCCATGTAGATTAAGTTCCAAAAGTTTCAGCCCTGTAGTTTTGTAGGTCTTGAGATGAAAAACCGCGACAGACGGACACACAGACACACACACAGACTGCCCCTCGTCAATGTGCGTTTTCTGCATTGCATAGCTGCAAAAAACGCATAAAAATGAATAAAA